TTCCTTTTCTTCTTTTCTCTGCTTTGCTGTCATCGGGGCAACTCTCAGTCTTTGGAACGAAGGGACAAGGAGCTTCTCTGGGTCCATTGTGGTGACGCACGTAATGCTCTCGTACTCAAATTGGCTGCACTGCTCCTTCTGGAAAGATACAAAACACAACCACTTCCCCACATCATTATTGATTCTGGTAAAACTCTTGTCTGGTTTGTGCATCCTTCCACCAGGGTAACCCAGCAGAGGTTATTGTACAGGAGGCCCGATGCCTTTCAGCCGCTGTACAGCTCTCTGCATTGTAATTCAAAAAGTTTAACGCATAACATTCTTCTCCACCTTTTTGTTTTGTTTTTATAGTTGCATTTTAAGAGTAGGATTGGCGCTTTCCACTATTGCCTGAGTCCTTATCCATCACCCCAGGAAGAACTTGCCAATCCTGTGCTTCCTGGGGAGGCATGATGACGGTTTACTGAGCCAGCTGGAAAGGCTGCAGTGGGGTTAAGGATAAGGCCCCTACTGTTTGGTGGGACCGGGGCTGGCCCTGCTTGAAGTTTTCCTGCCTAGGGGGCATTAAATTATCATCAGTCCTGGAGTGGCATTCACTTACCAATGCTTCCCTCGCCTGCATCTCGGACCTTTCCCTGAATGCACTGTATTAGGTAGATCTGCTATACCTCCCAGTCTCTAGTGCAGGACAGTGTCAAATGATGTTTCTGATTAATTGGATCAGGCAAAGACTTTCTGCTGACCAGCAAGTAACATCTCCTTTAATGAGGCAGCTAATACTGCTCCTTGAACATAGGCTGGTCCAGTGTCAGCACAAACACGAATATAATATTTCCATAATAACTAGTCTCTGGATGAGAGACAAGCTTTTGCGACAATATTAAGCCTCTGGTAACCTTCCACTGTATAACGATCTCTAAGTGGTTTTCCTACCTTCTCCTATGTCTCTACATTTACCTTTCCTTCCTCAGAAAATCATGGGCAGGTTTTACTTATAAAATCCAACAAATCGAAAAGCTGTTGATACTTCACAGAAACAGCCCTGTGCTTGGAGCATAGCTTTAAGCATGGATATGTATATACGATCCTGAATTTCCCATGTTTTACACCTAGTTATTACTAAACTTCGCTTCTTACCTTCCTTTTTACTTTCTGCACGTGCTTCACTGGAGTGTCCTTTCACCTTACAACTGCAGTTCCCCTGAACTCAGGCCCCTCATTGGGCGCCACATGTGCTGAGTCAGCTCAGCCAAGGGTTCGGGGAGTCTGCTTATTACATTTCACGTTGTCCCATAGCTCCCTTAAGCTGTCCTCCTGTTTTTAAATTGTTATTTCTTTTTGGCTCTGTGATTGAGTGATTATTTTTCTACCGTGTCTTCTAATTCAGTGATCTGATCCTCAGCTTTCCCAAATACATCTGTGTTCTTTATTAGTGCTATGTCATTCTTCAGAGTTATCTTTCTCATGCTGTTGAGCATCTTTGCCATCATTATTCTGAACTCTGTGCCTGGTAAATTTATTACCTCCATTTCATTTAGCTCTTCCTTTGGAGAATTCTGTTGTTCTTTTCATTTCAGGCTTTTTTTTTTTTGGTCTCCCCATTTTGGCTGCCTTTTGGGTTTGTGACTGTGTATTAGGTAAATATGTTATACCTCCCAGTCTCTAGTGCAGGACAGTGTCAAATGATATTTCTGATTAATTGGATCAGGCAAAGACTCAAAGCCTCCAGAAACCCGCCCCTGCCTGCAGACTGGTTGGATTTAGTCTTGAGTAACCTCAGGAAATCATCCACAGGTGGGGTGAGAGGTTTTCCAACATAGTGGGGCAATTGATTCTGCCTGGAGGCTAATTGCTATTCTCAGTCTCTTAATGGGCTCAGAAACTCCACAGGGTGGGGTAGGGGGTTTTCCAATAGGATGGGGCAACTGCCACTCCTCCAGGCAAAAACCACCTGGATAGCAAAGGTCTGCCTGGAAAAGATGTCCTCCACAGTGTGAGGGAATGACTCAGCACAGGAATCCGGAATGTCTGCCTTCTGAGCTCTAATCCCAGAGCCCCCAACCCTGGCTTCTGCTCACACAGCTCCAGTCCACTCTGCCCTCCCTCAGCTGGAGCCCAAGGTGAATTGTGCGTTGGCCTTTTAAGAGGGTGCCTGAATTTCCAGCCATCTGTCCCTGGTAGAGAACAGCCCTGCTGCTTTTCACAGCCAGATGTTATGCCAGCACCTTTCTCAGTTCTGGTGCTCTCTGCTGGGGAGCCCAGTGTGGTGTTTAGATCCCAGATGCTATTTTAGTTGTAATTCCAGTTTGGTCCTGGGAGTGTGTCAGTGTTACTTACTCCGCCACCATTTTTAATCTCCTATATATTTTTAAATTCCCATTTGAGGATTTGTTTATTGATTTTAGGGAGGAAGAGAGAGAGAGGGAAATATCACTGGTAGAGGGAAATATCAGTCTGTTGCTTCCTGTACAGGCCCTGACTGGGGATTGAACCGGCAACCTAGGTATGTGCCCTGACCAGGAATTGAACCTGCAACCTTTTGTTGGATGATGCTTCAACCACCTGAACCACCTGGCCAAGGCTTATATATTTTTTAAGTCTTTTTTTTTCATGCCCAGGAACAATATTTTTATGAAAATAAGGAAAGAAAACGTAAACTTGGCAAAACTGTATTGAGCTCTTACTATGTATAAGATACTGTTCTCAGCACCTTGATGGATGAAACATACACAAATGAGTAAAGTCCATCCTTGTCTTCAGGAACTTATAGTCTACTAGGAGAGACATTTGTGTAGGTTATTAATATAAAATTGGAGGGTAAACGGAGCACTGTGGCATTGGAGAAGCAACAATTATGTATGATGGGTAGAAATTGGGAAGTAATTTGTACAGAATTGAATTAGTCTTTGAATGATGAGGAAGATTTTGGTCAGTGGGTATGAAATTTAATGTGTGCATTTCAGAAATTGGGTTTTGTGGGACAGAGAGAGAAAATTGGATTGGGTTATTCAGGGCAGAAAGAGTAAATTGGGTGAGAAGACAGTAGGTTGAGGGGAAAATAAAAATAATGAATGTAAAACAACTAGCACAGTGGATGGCATGTTGTAGGTACTCAAACTTGGCCATTTTCTAATTCCACCATATTTACCTCAAGGAGTATTTTCAAGTTACCAAAAATAACTTGATTTGATTTGAAAAGTAAGACATGTGCAGTCAAGTTTTTGAAACTTTCTTTACTTACAAGTTGACCTGTTGAGAAAAGTGATACTAATATTGGAAAAACCTGCTCTTCTGTGCCAAGGTGGGGACAATGTCTTACTCCTATGATGCTCCCACGGACTTCATCAATTTTACATCTTTGGATGAAGAGGAAGACCCCCAAAACATAGATTCTTGGTTTGGTAAGTGTCTGCTTTCTTTTCCATTTTAAGGATTAAGTGGCTTGCTTTGTTCTGAGGATCTTTAAAAAAGAAGGGGTTGAAAGAAAATAACTAAAATGTAAATTCCTGCCAGAGCCGGTTTGGCTCAGTGGATAGAGCGTCGGCCTGGGACCCCTGGGGGGTCCTAGGTTCAATTCCGGTCAAGGGCATGTACCTTGGTTGCAGGCACATCCCCAGTGGGGGGCGTGTAGAAGGCAGCTGATCGATGTTTCTCTCTCATCGATGTTTCTAACTCTCTATCCCTCTCCCTTCCTCTCTGTAGAAAATCAATAAAATATATTTAAAAAGAAATTCCTATCTGAATCAAGATACTTTGTCATCCATGATAGGAGAGAAATAATTGAAGTGCCCAGTATTTTGGGAATGAACTACCAGTATAAGACAATGTTATTTTGCAGTTAAGAATGACAAATAATTTAAACTTTAGGGATATATGGGAAAATCCAGAAATCCATATTTTCTTAAAATATGATGAAGCAAAGTTGAGTGAAACTCTAGGACTCAAAACCATGTTTAAGCGATGGAGCCACCTAAAAATTTGCTCTACTTGTCACTGGGCATAGGGTATAATATTATAACTATGATATTGACATTGATAAAATCCACAATCTTGCTCAGATTTCCCATTTCACTTACACTCACTTTTGTTTATGTGTATTAAGTTCTATGCAATTTTATCGCTTGTGTAGGTTTGTGGATCTACCACCACAGTCAAGATACTGAACAGTTGTAACATCACAAGGAGCCTTGTGATGCCCTTTTATAACTACATTTGTCTCCTTCTTGCTAACCCTCCCCAATTTCCAATTTGTTTTTAAGTGGGAAAGATTATGCTACTCAGAACCCAGTCCCTAAGCAGAGATGGGATTGCCTGATGTTGGGTCATGTGATGTGGCACAAACCCTGAACCAGGTCAATAAATAAGGATGATTGTATTTTTATATTACTTTGGAGTAATATATGAGACCAGTGATAGTTGCTGGGGCCCCTTCATTTTATTCTTTCGCATGTCCTTTTTACTCCTTAAGAGAAATCAATGTTGATAGGAAAATGAGTCCATTGAAGCTGTACTTAGCACTGATAATGCAGAGTCCAAATGTAAGGGCAAAAGCCATTCTCCTGGAAAAGGACTTTAATGGTGTCCAATCCGGATCCCAAGAGGAGAGGTTTCTTGGAAGTGGTATGGGAAGAAAGATAGACAAGAGTGTCAACTGCCCAACAGGGTTCTTTCCATGCCCTTGCTCTACGGAAATTCTGAGGAAATGGTTGGGTTGTCTGTTACCTCTTTTTCACAGTTTTTCTTTAAATCAAAAAAAGGAAATACTAGTATAACAATACTTTTACATACTAGAGGCCCGGTGCGCGAAATTTATGCATTTGCAGGAAGGCGGGCAGTGGTCCCTCAGCCTGGCCTGCACCCTCTTGCAGTCTGAGATCCCTCAGGGGATGTCCTAAGCTGTCATTCAGACATTCTTAGTGCTGCTGCGGAGGCGGGAAAGGCTCCCGCTACCGCCGCTGCGCTCGCCAGTCGTGAGTCCGGCTCTGGGCTTCTGGCTGAGTGGCGCTCCCCAAGTGGGAGCACACTGACCATCAGGGTGCAGCTCCTGTGTTGAGCATTTGCCCCTTGGTGGTCAGTGCACGTCATAGTGATGGTCGTTCTGTTGTTTGGTCGATTTGCATATTAGCCTTTTATTATATAGGATAGTTGGGAAGAAAAAAATTAATCCTACTGTTTTTTCAAAACTTTAGTTCTTATATATTGCTTTCTAATTTCTTCCAAGTAATTACATCTTTTTACACCAGAGGTACTCAAACTTTTTAAACAGCGGGCCAGTTCACTGTCCCTCAGACATTCCACACATGCACACTGCGGGCCCGGGACGAGTCGGCTGCTAAGCAGGACAGGCAGCGGCGGCAAAAACACCGGCAGGCCGGATCAATGTTTTTGGCGGGCTGCATGTGGCCCACGGGCTGTAGTTTGAAGACCCCTGTTTTACACAGTTGGAATCAGTTTACGTGAACCATGTTTTTTGCTGGGGCTCACCACAATCTTTTTAAAAAATTATTTGTAAAATATATTTTTATTGATTTCAGAGCAGAAGGGAAAGGGAGAGAGAGAGATAGAAACATCAACAATGAGAGAGAACCATTGATTGGCTGCTTCCTGCGCACCCCTTCCTGGGGATTGAACCCACAACCTGAGCATGTGCCCTTGACTGGAATCGAACCTGGGACCCTTCAGTCTGCAAGCTGGCACTTTCTCCACTCAGCCAAACTGGCTAGGGCAGCCATGGGCAAACTATGGCCCGCGGGCCGGATCCGGCCCGTTTGAAATGAATAAAACTATTGAAAAAAAAGACTGTACCCTTTTATGTAATGATGTTTACTTTGAATTTATATTAGTTCACACAAACACTCCATCCATGCTTTTGTTCCGGCCCTCCGGTCCAGTTTAAGAACCCATTGTGGCCCTCGAGTCAAAAAGTTCTCCCACCCCTGGGCTAGGGCATTCTCACCACAATCTTGATACTTCTATCAGTAGGTTAGGGTAGAGCAGGTGTTTCACTGCTTTGCGCTGACTGTTAGGCACAGCAGAACCTAAGACAAGATGACTGCATAAAGCCTCTTCCTTTGGGATATGGGGTATATGAGAAAGTTCCCTTCATTTCTCACATACCCCATACTCCCCTCTCATTATTCTTAGTTAAGCAATAACTTCAGCTCAGACTATAAGATGTCTCTTGTGAACCCTGCAGAGCTTGGTGGCTACAGTTTTCTTTAGAAGGAACATGATGTATTTAGGTGGTAGATAAGGCCAGTTCATGCTTGTATGGTCCTAACTGAATTAAGCAAAGACAAGGAGCTTTTCACAGTGCGGAGTCTGTACTTCTTTTCTAAAATACATTGTTCACTGTTGCTAGTGTTTTAGTGATAGTTTTTACAGTCTCTATCTCTGACGTATAATGTGTACTCATTTTTTTTAACCACTAGAACTTTGCTTGTACTTGTCCAATGAGTTAGAAGTGTGCTGGTTGGGGGCTTTAGGCCCCATTTTAAGTGCATGGCACTGACTTATTTTGCTTGTTTAGATAATGACACTTTTATCGTTTCACAGAAGAGAAGGCCAATTTGGAGAATAGGTTTCCTGACATGACTCCTATGAGAAAAGCAAATCCTCCGCAAGCTATTGTGACACCTTTGAGACCAGGTAAGAGAAAATATTAGAAAAAAGCTTCTTTGCAGAATGGTGGTAAGTGTATTAGGAGCCTGAGGGGTCTGGAGGAATTACCTAAATGCTGTATATCCCTTGGTTTACTTTTGGTGAAATTGGCTAATTCATCATGGTGAATGTGAAATTAATGATGTGCTACACATTTAAAAAAATAATCTCTTGGAACTTAAGCTGACAAAGAATTTTTTTTTCCAACTAGAATTTGATTGCCCAGATATATAACGATCTTTTTATGACAGTATTCAATGTAACATATGGGTCTGGCTGGTAAATAAACCAGTAGGAGGGAAGAATGTACTGCTCTATATTATACAGGAATTCTTTCAGTTGTCTGTCTGATTTTAAAAGATGATTGACATTTAAACTGGTGGTTACTAAATCTGTAGAATAGTCTATTTGATCAGAACAAAAGAGGCATCCTTTAAGAGGTCACAAATCCGTGGGCGCAATGCTTTAGAACTTGCCCACCCTCTACTTCCTGGAGGCTGTATTAATTCCCCTCAATTCACAATAAAGTCTTATGCTCACATTTAAACTTCAAAAAAAGAGTCAAATCCTTGAAAATGATCTTTTTTTGAAGTCATAGCTATATTTAGACATAATTCACCTACTTATAAAGTGTACATTTCCTGCTATTTTAAAAAATATTTAATTCATTTCAGAGAGGAAGGGAGAGGGGGAGAGAGATAGAAACATCAATGATGAGAGAGGATCATTGATTGATTGCCTCCTGCACGCCTCACACTGGGGATCAAGCCTGCAACCCAGCCATGTGCCCTGACCGGGAATCGAACCATGACCTCCAGGTTCTTAGGTTGACTCTCAACCACTGAGCCATGTTGGCTGGGCTGTGTCCTTGTTTTTTATAGTATGTTCATAGAGTAGTGTGCAACCATCACTACAGTCAATTTGTCATTGATTTTTCCCCACTATTTTTCTGTTTTCTATTTTATAGATTTCCATTCTCATCTTTAATATTTAACTTCTACTTACTTTGGGCTCAATATGCTCTTTTTGTTTTATTAAAAATTGATTTTGGCCGAAACCGGTTTGGCTCAGTGGATAGAGCGTCGGCCTACAGACTGAAGGGTCCCAGGTTCGGTTCCGGTCAAGGGCATGTACCTGGGTTGCGGGCACATCCCCAGTAGGGGATGTGCAGGAGGAAGCAGAAGATCATTCAGAATCCTAAAGGTAACTAGAGA